ACCTACCCATCACCCACAACACCTGACCCACCTACCCCACACCCACGGCACCTGAGCCACCTACCCATCACCCACAACACCTGACCCACCTACCCTACACCCACGGCACCTAAGCCACCTACCTTGCACCCATGGCACCTGAGCCACCTAACCTGCACCCATGGTGCCTGACCCACCTACCCAGCACCCATGACACCTGAGCCACCTACCCCACACCTACAACACCTGAGCCACCTATCCCGCACCCACGACACCCGACCCACCTAACCCGCACCCACAACACCTGAGCCACCTACCCCACACCCACAACACCTGAGCCCCTAACCCACACCCACGACACCTGAGCCACCTGACCTGCACCCACGGCACATGACCCACTGTCATGGATTGAATTGTGTCCCCCAAAAATATCTGTCAACTTGGCTGGGTCATGATTCCCAGTATTGTATGATTGTGTACCGTTTTGTAATCTGATGTGATTTCCTTATGTGTTGTAAACTCTGTCATTACGATGTAATGAGATGGATTAGCGACAGTTATACTGATGAGGTCTACAAAACTAGATAGTGTCTTAAGCCAATCTCTTCTGAGATATAAAAGAGAGAAGTGAGCAGAGACACATGGGAACCTCACACCACCAAGAAAGCAGTGCAGGGAGCAGAGCGCAACCTTTGGACCTGAGGTTCCTGCGCTGAGATGCTCCCAGACCAAGGGAAGACTGATGCATCACAAGGACCTCCAGAGCTGACAGAGAGAGAGAGCCTTCCCCTGGAGCTGGCACCCTGAATTTGGACTTGTAGCCTACTGGACTGTGAGAAAATAAATTTCTTTTTGTTAAAGCCATCTACTTGTGGTATTTCTGTTATAGCAGCACTACATGACTTAAGATACCCACCTACCCTACACCCACAGCACCTGATCCACCTACCCTGCACACATGGTGCCTGAGCCATGTACCCCACACCCATGGCACCTGACCCACCTATCCTGTACCCACAGCACCTGACCTACCTACCCCGCACCCACGGCGCCCGACCCACCTACACTGTACCCATGGTGCCTGAGCCACCTACCCCACACCTACGGCACCTGACCCACCTATGCTGCACTCACGGCTCCTGAGTCAGGCTGTGTGGTTTTAGGCTCATATACTACTCCCTACTCCCTGCACCCCGGGGGTGGAAATGACTGCCCATTCCGTGGACAGGAAACTGAGGCTTGGGGAGGTCATAAAGAAAATACTGGGCAGGGACATTATCTCAAGTAGTTTGCTGTGTGGCCTTGGCAAGTTGCCCCACCTCTCTGAGGAGATAGGGAAATCTAGATGGTAGGGTTGTGACAGGAATTACTGATGGGATGACATAAATTTCACTATTTTACAGTCTACAGAAGTCTGATTCAAGCATTTAAAAAATAAATCAGGGGTTGAGGGGAAAAGAACAGGCTCTTTGAGTGTGTTTGTGGGACAGGCACTTGGCCCTGACCATGAGGGCCGGGAGGGTGAGGTGTGCTGCTCTGCCACCTGGTGGCAGCAACCAGTTCTGCATGGCTGCATGCAAGCAAAGGGAGGTGTGTGGCAGGAGCCCCCGCCCTGCCAACAGGGCATCTGTGAGAAAAGGAACGCACGCTGGAAGGGGGATGTGCGGGGGTGGGGGTCACTTTTCAAATTTTTTACTATGAATATGTAGTATTAGACTTTCCATTACAATAGTAAGACATGGATATGAACTTTTTTTTTTTTTTTTTGTAATTACTACACTACTTTCATAAGTTAAGGAACTGTCCTCTGTCCCAGGAGCTCTAAGACTCAGCCCTCAGGACAGCCTGCACATGGCATCCTTACCCCTGCTCCAAGGGAGGACGTGGAGGCCTGAGAGAAAAAGGAGGTCACTCAGGGCCCCCAGCCCCGCCCCACGACCCAGAGACAGTCCCCTCCCTCCAGTGGTCAGTGACCTGGTCAGTGGCCTGCCTGGGAAGGGGCGGGGCTGGCAGGGAGGGAGCAGGTGGCAGTGCTCACCAGCTCTCCCACCAGGGTCCCTAAAGCCGTCAGGCCACACGGCACTGGTGGGAATGTGGGTTCAAGGGCCAGTTCCCTGCATTTCAAGTACCACTCTCCAGCCAGGCCAGCTGCACAAGGCAGGCGGGGCAGACCCGGGAAGGAGACCAGAGGGCAGGCTGGGCCCTCCAACGCCACTGCAGTAGCCTCTCACAGGCACCCTCCCTGCACACAGGGAGGAGTGGAAGGGTGCTCCATGGCTCGTCCTGGTTCTTATACTTGCTAGATGGGTGCCCGTGGGCAGTGAGCCAGCTCTCAGGGCCTCAGTGCCTCCTGTCCAATGGGGTCACAATGGTGAGAGGCCAGCCATCATTTGGGTAAGGGGGCATGTGGCTGGGGATGAGCGGGTAGCTCTTGGCAAACGTATTGCAGGCTCTCATGCTGCCTAATCCTCATAACAGCCCTGTGAGCACAGAGCACTCACCATCCCATTTCACAGGTAGGGAAACAGAGGCTCTGAGAGTGACAAGCCCCGCCTGTCTTAAGGCAAGAGGAGCCAGGAAGGGAAGCCAAGTGCAGCCCCGGCCCCGCCCACCCTCACCTCCTCAGCACCTTTTCGGCCTCCTTGTTGGTGAGAATCTGTGGGTAGTAGCGGTTCAGCTGCAGGATGATCTTGTCCACCTGCTGCTCACTCAGGCGCCCGTGGCCTGTCAGGAAAGGCGTGTCCTGGACCAAGCGGTCACAGTAGGTCTGATCTGAAACCCAGAGGCAGCAAGCATGGGGTGTAAGTAGGCATCCTGGGGAGGGACAGAGTGGGGAGGGGCAGAGACGTGTGATCCCTCACTCATAAAGACACCAGGCCCGCTGGCCACAGCAAGGCCCCCACACCCACTGGCCACCTGCTCCCCAAAGGAGCGTAAGGCTGCAGCACCTTGGAGCAACTCTGAAGTCCCAGCCCGTGGGGCACCCCACATAGCTGGGTGCAGTCCCACATCTTCCAACCGCATGCCAAGGCGGAAGGGTGGGTGACTGCAAGGAACCAGCCAGCTCTGCTGCAGGGCAGGGTGGAGCCAGGCCACCAGGCCAGGAAGTACCGCACCCTTGGCCCTCAATGCTACACCAGAGCACTGACCATAAGAAACAAACTCCATGGAGCCAAGTGCCCACTCTCCACAGGGAACTTGCAATGGCATTTGGGAGTAGCCAGGGTCCAGGGAAGAGCACAGGCTGCCATGTGGTGGCCCGATGCCAACTGCACAGCTCCCGACCACAGCCTCCCGGGATACCACAGATACAATGACACGGGGCATGGGGCCTGAGCTGGCACTGCCACGGGGCACTGTGTGTTTGCAAGGCCAAAGCCACATGCCTGTCTAGGGGGCAGAGGGATGCTTCCCTTTTTCCTTTCTTTCAGAATCACCATCTTTCCCATAAGAGGGGGTGGAGGTCGGGAGGCAGGGGGCATAGGGCCCCCATTATGGCACCAGCACACTGAAGGGGTGCATCTGTTCACATCCTTATGGTGGCTTCCCAGGTCCTGTGCACACAGGCTCCTGGGTGGACATTCAAGTGCCCTGAGCAAGGCGGCTCACCGTGCTTTCATCCTGCTGGGCACGCTCTTGGCAATAGCTCAGCACAAAGCTTGAGAGCTACATGATTTTTTATTTTAAAAAGTATCTCTGAAAGCTGGAAGTTTTCAATTCTGAACGATATGGCTAAAACCATCTCTTCTTGTAGGTGAGAAAAAGGAGGAGGAGGAGGAACCATTTCTTCTGGGCAAGAAATAAATTCTGCCCTAAGAGTCTGTGATTCATACAAATGGAATGTGACTTAATAGGTTTAAAATTCATCATGCAAGATGTGAGTTGCAAACATGACAACTAGGCATTAGTTTGGGGAAAGAGTGAGTCAAATGGACAATTCAAAAATGTATGTATATATGTACATACTTATCTGTGTATGTATGGAAACGTGGTTAAGAGCTACAGCTGCTAACCAAAAGGTCGGCAGTTCGAATCCACCAGCTGCTCCTTGGAAACCCTATGGGGCAGTTCTACTCTGTCCTATAGGGTTGCTATGAGTCAGAATGGGCTTGATGGCAACAGGCTGGGTTGTTTTTGGGTTTTGGATGTACATATGTAGATGTGGTTAGGAGTGTTCTTTTATTACTCTTATTCTAGTAACTTTTCCTTAAATTTGAAATTATTTTCAAATAAAGTTTTTAAAATCCTATTTGGACTTCCAGTTTCTGCTCCAGCATGTGAAGAGTTTGAGACTCGTCACCATCATCACAGCAAGAAATAATCCGAAAAAATGGAGAACCAAGGTCATAGGGCAAACTGATGCCCTTGAAACTGGAGAGACAAACAGGCTGACAGAGAATCACAGCTTACCAGGGGCAGAAGTCGCTGGAACTAGGGACTGAACTGTAAGTGATTAACTGCTGAAGGCTGTGTGGACTACCTTGGTAAAAATTCCCAGGGGCCCAGTTTCAGGAGGTCCTACCTACACTTTAGTGATTTTTACCTCCAGGTGCCCCATTAGGCTCTCACTGAAGATCTGACAGACATTCCCTCTTGTTTTCAGCAGCAGAGGAGAGTAACCATTTTGAAATACACCCAGTACGTTCCAGTCTCTGCCAGCCCATGAGGGAAACTACCAGAGTCTAACAGCAAAAGCACTGCTTACGGAAAATTTATGGCAATGAATGCATGTATTAGAAAGGAAGACAACTAAAATGAATAAGCTTCCACCTTCGGAAACTAGAGAAAGAAAAGTGACAGAAACATAAAGCAAGCCAAATAAAAGAAATAATAAGAATTAAAACAGAAATCAATGAAATTAAAAATAGGAAAACAATAGAGAAAACCAACAAAACCAAAAGCTGGTTCTTTGAAACTATCAATACGATTGATAAACATCTAAAGAGACTAACCAAGATACAAAACAGAGAAGACACAAATTACTAATCTTAGAAATGAAAGAGGGGGGTCATCATTACTGATCCCATGGACATGAAAAGGATAATAAAGGAATATCATGAAAAACTCCCGGCCACCAATTTAATAACTTTCATGAAATGGACCAATCCTTTGAAAGATACCATCTACCAAAACTCACACAAAGAGACAGACACAATCTGAATAGGTCTATATCTATTAAAGAAGTTTAATCAGTAGTTAATAACCTTCCATAACAGAAAACACCAGGTTCAGGTGGTTTCATTGATGACTTCTTCTTAAGGAAGAAATGATACTGATTCTCTACAATCTCTTCCAGAAAATGGAAGCAGAGAGAACACTTCCTAAGTCATTCTATGTGGCCAGTGTTAACCCTAATACCAAAATCAGACAAAGTCATTACAAAGAAGAAAAACTATAGACCAGTATCTCTCATGACCATAGATGCAAACATCCTCCACAAAATATTAGCAAATTAAATCAAACAACGGATAAAAATAACTATACTCCACAACCAAGTGGGATTCATCCCAGGTATGCAAGGCTGGTTAAACACTAGAAAATCAATTAATATAATCTATCACATCAACAAACCAGAAAAATCATATTATCATATCAATAGATTTAGCAAAAGTATTTGACAAAATACAACACCCATTCATGATTTAAAAAAAAAAAAAAAAAACCACTTAGCAAACTAGGAATAGAGGGAAACTTCCTCAATTTGATAAAGAACAAAACTTGATACAGCTAATATCATAGTTAATGGTGAGTGTCTTAGGCTGGGTTCTCTAGAGGAGCAAGACCAGTGAAGTATATATGTATAAATATATATAGAGAGACTCATCTCAAGAAAATGGCTCACACTGTTGTGGAGGCTGGCAAATCCCAAATCCGTGGGTCAGGCATCAGATTAGAGGCTTCTCCTGACTCACATGGTTGCAGGGGCTGATAAACCCCAAATCGGCAGGTCAGACAGAAGGCTGCTTGCTCATGGGGTCACGGGAGCTGGTAAATCCCAAGATCTGTAGGCCAGGTGGAAAGCTGCTGGTTCACGGGGTTGTAGGAGATGGCAAATCCCAAGATCTGCAGGCCAGGTGGTTCATAGGGCTGTGGTAGCTGGCAAATCCCAAGATCTGTAGGTCAGGTGGTAGGCTGCTGGCTCACATCCCAAGAAGCGGGGGCCAGAGGATGACAAGTCAGATGCAGGATCCTTGCGAGTCAGATGCAGGATCCAGAGCAAGGGAGAGCTGAGCCAAAGCATCCTAATATATTGGATGCAGGCCACACCTCCAAGGAAACTCCCTTTCATCAGATCACAAAATGGAGGATAATTACATCAGATCAAAAAATGGAGGATAATTACATAATATTAAGAATCATGGCCTAGCCAAGTTGACACATAACATTAATCATCACAGTCCAGCCCTTGTCAACTTGGCACCTGTACACATCTCCTTAAACCATACATAATCTCTAAATAAAGGCACATTCCTCCCTTTGGAACTAAGACGTCTAGAACTACAAAGCATAGGATCGTGGGGACAGAAAGCAAAAATTTTGTGAGTGGTTCACTAGGGTAGTGCCACGTCTATCTCCACCCCTTGATTCCTGGAACCATGAATCCTGGCTATGTGAAAAACAGCACCATATATTGGACACCAGTTTAGAGCATATACAGCCTCGTGGAGAATACTGCCCCAACCCTGCAAAGTGTTGCCACCTAGTTGGCACAGTAATTCTGACTTTAGGAGGCCGTTCCATCATTCTATCAAGCCAGCGGCTTCAGAATGATGGGGAACATAAGACAGTGAATGCCATGAGCATGGGCCCAGTGCTGTACTTTATATGCTGAGTATGTCTATTCCAATTATGCATTCTGGAACTGGGAAATAAGTATAGGATTGGTTCAGGGACCCACTGGACCCACTGTGAGACGGACCTGAGCAAAGACTCCACTAATAACCTGACTTCCATCCACCCCCAGTCTGATTGGTGGACCACAGTGATATTTTTGGTCTCCTGGAATTAGTGTCAGTTCAGATCTAGTGTCCAGTAATCCCCAAAAAGTCTGATTATTTCCTCTTCCTGAATGAACAGTCACTCTCGTAAAAGGCCGCAGATCCCTTCGGGGAAGGCTGAGAGCAGGATTAACAGTATAAATTTTTGGCAATGCAGTGAGATCCTTCCTCAAGGGGATTCGGCCTCCCCATCATTCAAGGGGTTGTGGGTCTGTAAACTGGCTCAAGTCTGGGAATCAATTGAGGGGCTGTGACTCTCTATTCTGGCGATTCAAGTTAGACTGCCATTTACTTGACCTAGAATTCTTCTGCTTGTACAGATCAAGTAAATATTTAGTATATTTCCCATCTATCTCACACCTAGGGACACCATGACTAAGTAGCCAATGCCATAAGCCCGTATGAGTCAGATTATTCTGATTATTGGTTTGGCTCTGCTGTCCATTATGGTAAGCAAGCACACCGTGCCTTTGTCAATTAAGTGTTACCATTTGGCCCCTACCACCAAAGGGTCCAATCAGCCCCACTGTAATTAGGTGTCTTAATTCAGTTAGGGCAGTCCCCACTGTCAAATCTAACTTACATAAAATAGCAATCACAGCAGTCTTCAAGGATGCTGGGGCTCCCTTCACAATTTGTTCCTCATAGATGTGCCCTGGTGGCACAGTGGTTAAAGTGACAGACTGCTAACTGAAAGGTCGGCAGTTCAAAACCACCAGCAGCTCAAGGGGGGAAAGATGTGGCAGTCTACTCCCGTAGAGATTTACAGTCTTG